GCATTAAGAACTCGTGGTTCAAACCCGCTTGTGCCCGCCTAGAAGTATTGGCCGTAGCAAGCCCCGACCACCCGTACTCCGTCGCTTAAATTGACGTGAGTGCTCCTTTGATTTAATTGCTCGCTTGTGTTTCTTTGTGCACACAAGCCCTTCTTCCAAAGGCTAGTGTTCTTGCCACCAAAAGGATAGAGCACACCATGCGTTTCGGGGTCCAAACTCTCGGACCGTGACAGTTAGTATCAAAGCTGAGGCCCAAAACTTGTCGCAAGTAACCCGTGAAGGCAACAAGGAGGGCTACACGAAGATGTAATTCATAGAGGAAAGACTCGACTGGCTTGAGAAGAAAGCGGACGAATGGTCCCAGCTGCAAGTCATTATGCGCAAGCAAGTCGAGAAGATCGTGAAATTGATGGAAGATGGAGATGCTCTCAGTGAACAATTGCAATTTGTTCATGGACAAGCCGATGAAGCACTTGAGAGATGTGCTACCTTAATCCGCGCTGTGGGCAGAGACGCACTTGGGGTTGGTGCGACGAAGATCAAGCCGCCCAAACCTTGCGACTACAGTGGCACCAGAGATGCCAAAGGAGTAGATAACTTCCTCTTTGACATGGAACAATACTTCCGAGTATGTCAATTGAGTGATGATTAGAAGGTGGATACTGCTATAATGTACTTGTCCAAAGGGGCTAAGCTTTGGTGGAGCACCAAGCATGCAGACATCGAAGCAGGAAGAATAAAAATTGATACATGGGCGGAGTTCAAAGAGGAACTCAAAGAACAATTCTACCCCGACGACACATAATTTGTTGCTCGGATGAAGTTGATAGAGTGCCGCCAGAAGGGTTCCATTTGCGACTATGTGAAAGAATACTCGGCGATAATGTTGGACATCACAGACATGAACGAGAAATATCGGGTGTTCAACTTTGTCAATGGGTTAAAGGAATGGGCGTAGCGAGAAGTTTTAAGGCAGAAGATTGATACCCTCTCTGCTACAATATGTGCTGTCGAGAGATTAATCGACTACTCAGTCGAGAAAAGCCGGAAATCCGAGAATGATTCATGTGGGATGTCAACACGCTCCAATAGCCCAACTCCAAGCTCTCCATAGGGCACAGAGAATAGCTCTCGAGTATCGTCCAACACCATTAATACTTATTAGAGAAGAAGTGGAAGAGGTGATGTGCAGAGATCTACATCGACCGCCTCCCACAACTTCGGAAACTCTAAGGCCAGCGCGTCCTCGACAAATACCAAGCCGCCGAACTCCATTCTTTATCGAGGCTCACACAAATGGTGGGAGTGTGAGCATAAAGAAGAGCTTGACAAGATCCAAAAGATATTGTCATCTATATCCGTGTAGGAGATCCTAAAGGAGAAAGAGACCAGCAGAGACAATATCCCACACTACGGGATGTACTCCATGAAAATGATTGCCCCAGAACCTGAATTCTGGTACCTATCAGCAATTTGAGTGACAGAGCCTAAGAGGGAGGCGACATCAAAGAAACAAAGCTCGCACTAGAGACACCCAGAGGCGAAAGATGAAGCCTAGAGAGCCGACAACATCCTAGATGCACACCCGTCAAACTCAAAATCAGACACTTGGTTCGAAGCAAAGAGCGACGAGCCCAGAGACAAGCACCAGAGTCAACAAAGATTCTATTAGTCGGCCGCATCAACAGCACGTCAGAGACTCAAGCTAGTTTAGGATTTTCTAGTTTTGTTTGTATTTCTTGTAAGTCGACGAGGTCGTCGATAGCTTAAGTGGGGGAGAATGCTAGAATCCAACTCCTTTTGATGTATTAGATTCCCTTTAGATGATTTCTTGGAGTTTAGTTTATGTTTTCTTAGTTTGAAGTCCCATTATTGTGTTACTGTCAGTTTAGTGTTCACTAGGGATTCTCCTTGTAATCAATTAAAAACTCTTTAAAGGGTGAATGATTGATGAAATCTTAAGCCTTCTACCAAGTGTTTCCTTGATTTTGTGCTTGTTTATTGTTAGACCTTTATAGATATTGTCTCTTACTTGCATATTAGCTCCCCTCCAAACCAACTTGATGCATTAAGAACTCGTGGTCGCTTATGCTAGCCTTGAAGTATCGGTCGTCACAAGCCCCGACCACCCACACTCCACCGCCCAAATAGGCGTGAGTTCTCCTTTAATTTAATTGTCCTCTTGTGTTGCTTTGTGCTCACAAGCCCCTCTTCCTCCCAAGGCTAGTGTTCTTGCCACCAAAAGGTTAGAGCGCGTTGCGCATTTCTGAGTCCAAACTCTTGGACTGTGACAATTGGTCTAGCTTGGAAGAGTTTGATAAGTCGTGTATAATACATGTGTTTAGAGTCTTTTTAGGTAGTTTTTGAGTCTATATTAGTTTTTCATGGCTTATTTTGGCTTGATTTTGTTTAGTTGTGATCATACGATGCTTTTATGGGTAGATTCGTTGTTTTTGATGTATTTCAGGGTTTAACGAAGATTTTTTGAGGTTTTACAAAGTTGCAGATCGTGATCATAGCTTGCAATTCACCTAGAAATCCAAAGTTTGAAGTTGATTTCATTTAAGGGTAATCTCCATCCAGAAACGCCCATGCCACTCAGAGACATGGGCATGTCAGTGTGTTTTGAAAAGGCAGAGAGTTGGAAGTTGAAGTTTCATCCAAGGCACGCCCATGTGGAGTCAAGTGTTTTGAAGCTAGCTGCTATGTGCTAAGGGAAGCATGGTCGTGTTGAATGAGGGCATTCCCATGCCTCATCGAGTGAATTTGACCCAGCGAGACACGCCCATGTCAATATGAGACACGCTTGTGTCTTTACGAGTGTCGCAGCTGCTGTGAGTGCCATTCCAGCGAGGCACGCCCATGTCATAATTTGACATGCCCATGCCTGGATGAATTTAGTCGGTTTTAATCCGATTTATTTCCTTAATTAATCCTATCTTTAATTTTAGCCTTCTTATAAATACTCTTTAGCATTATATTTTCATAATCTATCATCTTAGAACCCTAGTTTTCTCTCTAGACTTTATTTTCATAGTAATTCAAGATTATGCACTCAAGTTTCTTCATTTATCTCTCATAATTCAAGAATTGGTATTTTCTTATTCTCTTTATTTCCTTTTATTATTAATTATATTTTCTTTAATTTTTGTTATTGTTTTCATTAATATGTGTGAGTAGTTTCCTTATTCCAAGATCTAGCGGAACTTGAATATGATTGATGCATGATTTATTTCTTTATATTCTCGAATGATAATTGTAATTGATATGATTAATTGATTGTGCTCATGCTAATACTATATTAGAGATAATTGGTATTGTTATTAATCCATTGTTTTAATCGCAACGGGAGTTGGGTTTTGACGGATTTGAATAAATCAATTAAGGGTTTGAAGTTCATCACGAGAGTATTTAAATGGATGATTAGGAAGTTAGAGTAATGTGCTTCAGGTCTTTAATTTACATGATTCCACAAAAGTAGGCTTGATTGTGATTAGAGAAGCCATTGATAACTTGGGAGAGACCATTGGTACTATTTGGGATTACTTTTCCTCATTAATCAATTAAATTATATATTAGGGGTAGAACAACTATTGCATTAATTGTATTCGTGGTGATGCTTGATCTTGGATGTTTTTAGTATTTGATCTATTATATTATCTAGTTTAATCGCTCTTCCTTGGTAATTAGTTATTAATTCTCATTTATTTGATGTGGTTACTTGCTTAGTAGTTACTTGAGTCTATATAATTAGTTAAACCATAGTCTCTTGGGATCCGACCTTTACTTGCTCGTCTACTTAGTAGTGGTCTTGTTAGATTTATTTTTTTTAGGTACACGACACACCTACCGCATTTATGCTTCAACTAAGCACAAAGGATTGTATCAAAAATGAAGTTTCATTGTTTTTCTCTAGTTACTGAACCTTAGGTTTTCTTACATCGATATGTATTAGACTTTGAGTTCATATCATCATTTCTCTAATTGATGACTTTGTCAAAATTTCGAATTAGAATGATGTTTACATATATCAATAGATTCATAATCTAATGACATCAAAAGTCAATCCCTTAGGATCTTCCACGTGCAATGTTCATTTTCATTCGAATTAATTGACATATTAGAGACAATTTATGTATAGAAATGGGTTAATTTTTTCAATCATATCAAACTTTAAACTTATTTATCAATTCAAAAAACATTATGACGCAATAAAGCACTACAACAAATTAACTCTTGTGCCACGAATTATGCCACGGGAATACAATATTTGTGGCATAATTTAAGCTTGCCACGGGAAAAATAAGTTCAATAATAAACTTGATATGACAACAAAAATTATGCCACGGGAAAAATGAAGTTTGTGGCTAATTGAAACTAGTGCCACGACTAAATTTTTTCCCATGGCAAATAAACACTTTTGCAACAAGTAATTATGTTCCCGTGGCAGATGGACATTGTTGCCACAACAAATAATTTTTCTCGTGGCAAACAAACATTAGTGTCACGGGTCCTTTTTTTTATATTGTGACAATCATTCTCACACTTGTGCAACATTAAAATTTATTTCCGTGGCTATATGTTAATACAAACGGATCATATTTCTTGTAAGGAAAATAAACTTAAATGTTATCAATCTTTTAGCTTTAATCAAGAGATATAAACTATGTAAAAAAAAGTTATTTACAAATTCTTACAAATAAAATTGATGGAAACTTGATTATGCACCACTATAAATTAATAATCGTATGACATTTACTCAAATAAAATTCAAATTATTTCATTTTAAAAGTATCGCACCTTATGATTATTGTTAATAATTTTTATTAAAAAAGACCTTAGCGTAAAATAGCCTGCAAAACAAGTTTTTTCTTTTTTTCAATTTGTAATTATTAATTCTGGGTCTTTTTGTTTGCATTTTTCGAGATTAGTTTATAATACAAATTGTATAACATGTACATAAAATAAATTATTCTTAAATGAACTTCTAGAAATTGCACTGAGCCGGTAAAGGGTACAACACGTTTTCCTGAAAGATTATACATGAGCCAAATGGCTAATAACACTTCCTATTATAATATTTTGCAACAATACTTCGTATAGATATCTTAAAATACTAAGTAAAAAGGATCTTAAAGTCTTAAAATACTAAGTAAAAAGGATCTTTAAATCAAGAATAGATTTTGAGTACCACCAGCTTTCTCCAGAGAACAATTGCTACCAAGAAAGCCGGATAAAAGGTCCATGTTTTATTTTTGACATGATATACAGGCACCAAAAAAACAAAACCAAGAAGTCATCAAACCAACTAAAAAAAATAGAAAGGTACGGCACTAGAGAATGGCACTTCCCAATCTTCCTTTTGTATCAAATCTTTACAGAAATCGATTGAGTAGGCTGTTCTACAAAGGAGCCAAGGAGGGTTGATGGTCAGTTTGCACTTGTAAAGGTTCCAACTTCCTAATTATCCTGTCCTTAAGAACAATAAGCCCATGTCCTTCTTTCATTCCTTTGTATAAAGGTTTTTCACCTGTAATTGAATATAAATGAAGTACTCGAAATTATAAAATTTGAAGGTAAACATTTAAGACAAACATATATATATGGTGCTAAAGAGCAAAGGTTCGGTACCAGTTTCTTTATTCGGAATCCATAGTCATGATCAACATTTCTTATTCAACAGCATCTGTTACACAGTAAACAAAGGCAAGCCAAAGTACTTTATTTGAACTCCATGATGGGAAAATTTAAAAGATAAAAAACGTAATGAAAATTCGATATGCGCAAAGCAAGCATTAAAAAACATGATATGCACATGGTAAGTGTAAAGAAAACTTGATATCCAGATGAATATGTCAATAAGATTTAGAATGGCATGCGATGAACTAAAGCTTACCTTGTTCGTCAAACCAACCTCTTCAATAATGTCATCATCTATATTCAACAAAACAGGAGCAAATTTATACTTTCATCAATTTACGAAATAATTTTTGCTAATACAATTGATTAAACAAACCAATAAACAATTGAATTCACAAACCTATAATTTCATCAATTAGTTTCAAAAAGACATGAAAAGCTACAAGAAAAAAGAAAGTATCTACACACCAATAAATAAAGGATTTGACTAAAGAAGAAAAAACTCAAGAAACAATATCACTTAATAAAAAGGCAGGGGACATAAATTTTATGTGTATTCTCTTGTTTAATTTCGTACAAATGCTACAATTTAGTTATCACGTTATCATAACGTAACAAGGATTCTTTCATCCCATAAATCCAGAAGCTTAATCACAAGTGGCAATGCAAGTTTATATAAAATGTGAAGGCACAATCATATATAAATGATAGATCTTATGAAGTAAGCCAGCAACATGCACATATATAGATAGCATTGAACAATTAACTTATTATCACCCAAAAATACAATTCACACACCAACATCACAACATCGTCTACTAATTCCAATTACATAATCAATCACTAACTCAATATTAAATCATCCAAACCATCAGAAACTACAAAGACAAGATAAAATGTGATGTTTTTTTTTTACCAAGAGTTAAAATGAAATTAAACTCGTTGAGAATAGGAAATACCAATCAATTTTCATGAATGATTTCTTGTAATTAAAAATTAAGGACAAACCTCAGGCCAACAAAGAATGTGGAAAGTAATCTTGAAAACTAAGGCTAGCATCAGCAAGTAGTAGTGTGGGTTTATACCTTTTGGTAAAGTCAGAAGGACACAAGAGATTTTAGAATGTTCAGATCACTCGAACATAAAGCCTGCACAACCGAGAACGAACCCAATTTAAGGTTCAAGCACAACAAACATTAGAGAAAAGGGGGAACAAACAGCAACTAATACAACAAACATAGCAGTACTATGCAGTGGTGGCAATGAACACTGCTAGAAATTTAAATTTAGCAAACACTAGCCTCTGATCAAAACGTCCAAGAATTATAAGAAACACAGACCCTTGTTGTCCTTCCATCAATAAACTGTACCAAATTCTTACTTCAACAAACTGAGATATTCATCAATAACCAAGAATTTTCATTTTAAAAAAATGAAATTCTTACTTCAAAAAAATGAGATTCTTACTTCAACAAAATGAGAAATTTCACCAATAACCCAGAAATTTCATTTAAAAAACCGACTGAATTTGGACGAACTAATCAATTTTGCCTAGGAACCTAGAATTCGGGGGAAACTCGATCATTATAATCCTAAATATGAAAAAGTTAAAATAAATCAAGGTATGTAATTCAAATAAAGATGCTTACCTAAAAACCCTTGAAAGATGAAGAAAGAAAGATAAAGTACCTCATCGAAACAATTGTCGAACAACAGGGAAACAGATCTAAAAATTGATGCTTTGATTTCGTACTATAGAAGCGATGAGTTGATATTTTAGAGTATGCGGCTAACATTTGTTAGAGTAGATGAGGGAATTGTTGGGTGAAGATTCAAGGCTTTTTTTTAAAAAAAAAAAAAAGAATGAAGAAATTTTAGGTAAGAACAAGGTAATGAAAGAAATTTTGTGAAAATTTAAACGGTTGCTTAACCTCACCAACTCTTTACACATGTGACAAACAGCTTTATATTACGGAGTATTTGTTATCACTTATTGGAAACATCGCCCACAAATTACTACATAAAGCCCACAAAATTCACTTGGTTTGCCAAAATTGCCCTTGACCTTAAAAAAAAACACTAACACTCTCATCACTCACACTCTCATTGCTCATCTTCTTTCAACCTCTCTAAAAAAAAAATTTCAAATAACGGCAATGTCGAGGCGGCAAGGCAAGGAATTGGCGGCGGCGGCGGAGAGAAGGATGTCCCAAGGAGGAAAGGTACATTTTGTTTTAAAAAAAAAAAAAAGGGGAAAAACCGCCGTGAACGCGGTGGGGCGGCCTGGCTGGACGCCCAGCCAGCGGTGGTGGCGCCAGATGCAGACGCCGCACCAGTTGGCTGGCGTCCAGCCCAGGCGCCAGCCAACTGGTGGCGGCGTCTGCAGCTGGCGCCACCACCGCCGGCTGGGCGTCCAGCCAGGGCGCCCCCCCCCCCCCCCAATTTTTTTTTTATTTTATTTTTTAAAAAAATTGTTTTTAATTTTTTTTTTTTTTGTAATATAATTTTGAATTGTTTTTATATTTTGTTGTTTATTTTTATAAATTTTTTCAATTTCGTTGTATTTTTTCTACGTTTATATTTTGTTTACAATTATTTGTATGTTTTTAGTTTATTTGATTTGCGATGATGATTATTTATCGTTTAAATTTTTGTATGTTTATATATTTTAAAATTTTGTGTAGAATTCACTGGGTCGTCATGGTGCGGGGAAGAATATAGAGCTTCTTAGTAGAAGTTATTCAGTGGAGAGGTCGGGGCATAGACATGTCAGATCCCGTGGTATTTCGGCCTCAGTTCGTAGAGAACGGATCCACCGTCGGGATGAGGATGGCGATGACGATGATGATGCTGAGGAGGGTGACCAGGAGGAGGAGCAGGAGGAGGGCGCAGATGAGGATGAGGATGTGGACGATGGCAGTGGACCGTATGATGATTACGGTCCATTCAGTCAGAGGGTTGATGACATGTACGAGACGCATATGGTGGAGGTGCGTAAGGGTAGGGGTGGTAGGTTTGTTAGTAGATCTGGCACATCATCTGCGTCCATTGTATCTGGGGCAAGCAGGAAACGGTCGAGGGCCGGTAATGATTCTTGGGTTGTTAGGAGTGAGGTGCCCGGTGGGCCTGTTGACGGGAGTGTGATTCCTAGCTTTCTAGGACACATAGCTGCCCGTATTTGGGAGGACCAGGAGAGGCCTTCAGTTACGGGGTTGTTGAAATGTCATAACCGGGAAAAGACTTGTAGCTTTTTGCGTACATGGGCTGAGGCCTGGCCGGCGGAGAGCGAGATGTTCGAGCGACTGGAGGGCACTGGGGTGAAGCACGTTCCTGCCACCATGCACGATAAGATTGACAGTACGCTGATCACGGCTTTCATTGAGCGATGGCAGCCGGATACAAACTCTTTCCACCTTCCGTTCGGTGAGATGACGATCATGTTACATGACGTCGAGGCCATTCTGGGGATTCGTGTTGAGGGTAAACGACTTTGTGCTGTGGCTGATGCGGATCAGGCAGATTCGCTGGCGGAGTTGTTGGCGGTGGACAGGGCTGCACTGTACACCGAGGCGCTAGGTGTTTGGGAACACGGAGGTGTGAAGATCGCATCCGTGTTGCAGCGGTGTTTGTACCCGAGTGCACGTAGGACGCCCGACGCACAGCTGAGTGCTTATGTTTTTCTACTCCTCGGATGTACCTTGTTTCCGGATAAGAGCGGCGGAAAAAAGCTCAGGCCACGCGACATCGTAGAGGCGTGTGACCCCGACAGTGTAGGCCAGTTTTCCTGGGGATCGGCTACGTTGGCGTATTTGTATCGCCAACTAGGATTTGCGAGTCGGGCTGACGCGGCAGGTATCACTGGGTGTCTGACTCTATTGCAGACCTGGATATACGAGTACTTTCCTGCATTGCGACCACATCGTGACCCAGTTCCTATTGATGAGGGGATGCCGCGTGCTTGTGCGTGGAGTCCGCGCTCGGAGAAGAAGTCCGTTGACCGCCTCCGATCGATACGGTTATTGCTGGACAGGCTGTCCCCCTTAGAGGTAACGTTTATTTATAGAGTCTACATTTTATTATTTGCACATATTATATTCATGTTATTAAATTTTATATGTTGTTATTGTACAGGTGAACTGGATGCCTTTCGGCCCGAACCCTAGTGTTAGGGTACCCAGGACCCTGTACACGGGACTCATTCAGTATCGTGACATCGTCGAGGCGTACATGCCCCAGCGTTGTCTTCGCCAGCTTGGATTTGTCCAAGTTGTCCCTCCTCCCCCGGCGTGCCCGATGAAGGCGGTCCGACCTGCATCGTCGAGGGACTACGTCGTGGAATGGCCGGATATCATGACCGGGACGTGGGACCAGTTTCCGATGGTGGCCCGCTTATGGACTGCGGAGTTGCAGCGGCCGCCCTCTGGGGTTACTCCCATGTGTGACCATTACTACATGGAATGGTTCAACCGGTATTCGCACCCGAGGTTGATCGCTGATCTCGACCACAGCGATGATGATTATGTGCCACCGCCTACTGCCACGGAAGCGGTATGTCTTTTATTATATTTATCGTTGTCTTTTAATTAAGTTTTATTTGTTGTTATTGTATTTCATCTTCTGTTTTTTGTTTTATGCAGTGGATGGGAAAGATAATGCAAGACGTACAGAAACTCTCTCTTGAGAAGGACAGCATGAGTGCAACAGGGAGAGCTGTTGTTGATAGTCTGGAACAGACCCTTGCGCAGTGGGAGTCGTCGTCGAGGAGGGATTACTGATGGTTATTGTATTTTATTTATAGAGCATTATGTTGGACATTATGTTGTAAAATTGTAACATTTTAGATTGTTCTTTTAGCTTCCAACTTAAACATATTATCAGTGCTGTTTTTAAATTTTGATATAACCGTTCGTGGATCCGCGCAACTTACCCATGCAACATATAGAATGCAGTAATCAATACAATATAAAATATTAATGTTCTCATTAAAAGAGCAACGTACAAATAAGATTACAAATAAAGAATGTAAACATGAAAAACTAAAATGCAGCTAGGGTGTTCCATTCGTGGATCCGGTCATTATATAGCGCATCCCAACCCTCTACGCTCGCTGTGCGAATGTTATACCACCGAGGTATAATCGGTGGCACCGGAAAATCGGTTGACATGTCTAGTCGGATGAAATGTCTGTATGACGACCCAAGAAACGCAATAGCTAGCTCTCTGACCGGTGTGGTGACAGTCTCACGCGACCGCCAAGGGAGAACCGTGGTACAAGGATAATAAGCTTGACTATGCACTCCCAGGCCGAAATGCATGACTGCGCATTTGTAAATGTTTGCAACGGCAAACAGATCTAGGGGCGCGTCAAAATAATGATTTTCGCCGCAAGGTCCACCTCCCCACCGGATACGCCGCAGAGCGCCATCCAAGTCATCCTGGTACACATGACGATAAACATTTCGGTTAGAGGCAATTTCGCTGTACATCAACTCACGCACCAAACCGTAGTTGTCTTCGCCCATTTGAAAAACATCAGCCACGACCTGGAATCCGCAGTTACCATCTCCGATTACATCATTCCACCCTTCCAAGTACGACATGATGATCGCAGGTATCCTTTCCTTGTACGGAAACTGATCAACATCGTTTCTTCCTATTCACCATATAATTAATTATAGACAGTTAAGAAGGCAAGAGTAACACTTTAAAACTATGTGCAATAAAAACAACCAAAACGTACCAGTTCTCAGGGGCATATTCACAGACGATGAAGATTGACTACGACTAGATGACGATGTCCAACCACGAGAACGACCACGACCAAGACCACGGATATACTCAAACGCACTCCTGTTCCGCCGTTGTCGACCTCGAGGATGGTCAACTCCTTCGGGTTCCTCATAATCTAAGTTAGACGGGTGGAACATGTCATGAAGTACATGAGTAGCGTCACGAATAATAGAAGGATGGCTGGAGGACACTCGGTCGTACATCGAACGGAACTGCTCCAACTCCTCCTGTTCACGGTCGGCCGTTTGATTGTCTGCATGCTCACCAATAACAAGCGTCCTCCAGAATGAATGGACCTGATCAACATGTAACGACGCCCTTTCTTCTGTAATAACGCGGTGAATGGTGCATGCGCAAGGTAATCCATGAGTTACTGAAATAGTACACCCACACCGAGTATACACTTCGTCAGCCAAGTCCCTCACCCTGTTCAGCTCAGTGAGAATCAACCCCAAGCAGTAGTGCGACACACGACCTTGGAGAATCTTAAATATAAAATGGCTATACATCGTACCATGTCGTCGTCTGGAGTCCTCTAGAGAGTTCCTGATGTCGTTCTTCTGAGTTTCAATTGACTTGTTCAGTCTAGCGAACAGTGTATCCAAAGCAGCGGTCGATGAATCAATCCAGTCCTTGGTAGCTCTATGAGCGCTCTCAACTCTACATGTTGTAGTGTTCCCAAAATGAAGTACCTGGTTTGTCCAATATTTGACAAACTTTTCCCTGTGAGGGACCCATTGATGCATCACATAGTCCACCAGTGCCGGACACCACTGGTACGAATCCCTGAAGTTAGCCAATGCTCGCTCATACGCTTCCTCTGTGGTAGCCTGTAGGATCTTCCGCCACTTACCATTCACCAATCTCTCTGCCATTTCCAAATTCTTCTTGAAAAGGTTGTAGGCTTTCACTTTCACGCAGTTGTTGATGTGCCATGTGCACAATAAGTGGTTCGATTCGGGAAACAGCTCTGCTATGGGGGCAAAGAGACCTCCCTCACAGTCGCTGACGATGGCTGCTGGATGAACATTAGGCCCGATGTAGTTTCTCAGCTTCTCCAACACCCAATAATAACTTGGAGCCGTCTCATCCCTGATGATTGCATGACCAATCAGAAAGTTCTGGTTCGTTGGAGCCATCCCAACCATCTCAACCAGAGGGAACTTGTACTTGTTTGTCTTGTACGTTGAGTCGATCAAAATCACAAATGGCCAAGACTTGATCATATCAGCACAATCAGGATGCACAAGGAAAAGATGAGTCACCTCCGCTGTATCTTCATCAGAATCAAACCAGAACAGGTAACCACGTGATTGTGCCTGGTGTAGCAGCTGCTGTATAGGGTTCCTTCCCTCTGACCGTTCAAACCTGAGTTGCTGTCTGACGTTGTAGATGTGTCTTCGGTTTGGATGGTCTTCTGGAAATTTCTCTAACACAGATGCTAATATTTTAGCAGGCTTCACTTGAGCATCACTCATTTCTTTCACAACTAGTTTCGCAACAGGACTTAAGCCGCTCAGTTGTCGATGACCCTCTTCATATACTATCATCTCATGGTTGTGATACCCCCATTTAGAGTAACCTATCACTTCCCAACCGTCACGACTCCGTAGTTGTCGAACCTTTACTCTGAACTCACACCCACAACCTTTCCGCTTTGTGTCAAACCGAGTGGCTGTACGAAAATCTCTTTCTTCTCTTTTGCGATAACGGTCACATCTCAAAATGCGATCCATTCTACCATCCCATTGAGATTTATGAGTTGCTACTACCAAGCAAAATCCAGCTGCAATTGCAACCTGTTTTGCCCAATCAATCGCCTGTTGAGCTTCTTCGAATGGACCATCATGTCCAAATATCCCACTGTAATAATTTCCGTCTCCACCATATTCCTGCATCAATTATATATTACAATAAATACATTTAACGGATAATACATTTAATTTCTATATTTCCACAGAATTAACACAAAAAAAAACATAATTATATATAATCAAACTTAATTTTTATAAAAACCCAATTCGAATTTTCAAACTAAATTTAAAAATATACCATTTCGAATTTTCAAATTTAATTTTAAAAAAACCTATTTCGAATTTTCAAATTTAATTTACAAAAAACCCATTTCGAATTTTTTTAAAAAATCATTTTCGATTTTTTTTTTTACAAAAAAATTAAATAAAAAACAACAACAAAATCAAAAAAGAAAAAAAAAATTAATTATTAAAGGTGGCGTCTGCCAGGGCTGCCACAGCCACTGGACTGGCGCCTGGCAGGGCCGCCTCACCCAGTGGAGTGGCGTCTGCCCAGGACGCCAGACTGGTGGTCTGGGCGTCTGGGCTGGACGCCACTCTGGTGGTTCTGGCGTCCGGCTTGGACGTCCAGGCTACGGTTTGGGCGTCCACCCTAGGCGCCGGAGCCACTCCGACGGTAAGCCGTGAATTTTAACGGTGACTTACCTCGTTTTCCGTCGACGGCGACGTACCTCCGGCGTCCCCCGCATCTCCGGCCTGCCATCCGGTCTCCCCCGACGAGCCAGTACGGCTCCACATTTTTTACACCGAGATTATTTCAATTTTAGAAAAAGGGCATAATGGTCAAATCATATCATATTTGTGGGCTTTATATGGTAAATTGCGGGCGATGTTTAGCGTTTCACTTATTAATTTGGAGGGAGTTTTACCGCCTAACATATGACGAGTTTTACTTTTTAGAGGTTAAAATTTCCCACAAAATTTCAATCAAGTTAAACGATTTATTGATTATGGAGGTAATTTTCCCTCTTACATTTTCAATTGTAATTTTTTAAAATGAATTTTTTTTTAAGGTTTTTTTTTATTGATTAACAACTTTATTTGTAAAATTGTAATTTTATATCTGAATTGCTCATTAAGGACTTGTTCTCTTACGTTGAAATTTAGTTCAGTTCAACTTAACTCCTAATTTCCTTCTCTTATAACATATTCAGTTCAGCTCAGTTCAGCTCAGTTCAGCTCAGTTCAGTTCAATTCAGTTCAGTTCAGTTCGGTTCAGTTCAGTTCAGCTGAGTTCAGTCAATGAGAACATGCCCTAAATATATACATTCTCAGTTTTTTTTTAGTTGCAATAGTTTGACTTTTACACTATTTATGTATTTCACTTTAACTAGCTTTGACGGTTTACACTTAAGTAAAAATATAGTCATGTGGGATTTTGTAAGATTCGTCTCTGTTTATACAATTTTAATATCAATTTTTTATAATTTTTACATATTGATAATTAAATATAGTAACGATTGAAAACATGCATCGACGAGCATGAAAAGAGAAGTGTAAACATGTAAAACGATATAAAGATGTAATAACCTCATCAAATATCCAAATAATTGTTGTAATGAACTGATAATGTTGTTTTTCCTGTAATTTTTAATTATAATTCTTAAAATCTTATATAAACTACATTAAAATCATTTGAGGAAAAAATGGAACATTATAAAATCTGTTGATTATAATTTTTAATTTTCATACTACTAAGTAATAACTAGCTAACTTATGGTCAGGACAACATTCCAAGTTTTAAATATTGGTTCATATTCTTTACACGGTGATATTCACACGAATTTGTTTTTGTATAGATTATTAAATGTAAGAAACAAAAACATAATTGTACTTCTAAATGTTCTAATATATATGGTTCTTGTTCGTCTCAGCTCTCAAGATCAGATCAAATGATATAAAAAAAAACGTTTCTAATGTAATTAACATGGTCTTAGGGTTTGTTCACATTTATTGAACTGAACTAAACTGAATAGAGCTGAAATGAATAATTTATGAGAGAATGATATTAGGAGCTGAACTGAACTAAACTAATTGGAGCTGAACTTAACTGAACTAAAAATAAGCTAAAGTGAACAGACCCTTACATTAGTTACTTGTAACCCACATAGACCAGATCCAAACTCGTCCCAAACACTCGTATGTCAGCTCTAGTTACATGATATTGTGGTGTTCTTGCTATGAACTATTTTAGTTTTTGACCCATTAACCAATAATAGTTAGTCTTTATATACTCCATAATATATATTGTGTGTACTTATAGTCGAATGTTAACACAATTAATCATTTCTCAATAATCAATTGTTATAATTTAAGTTATTGTACTTTTATATTTCGACAATACTTATTTTTAGGTTATTTATTCAAGGGTTATCCGGTCAATTAGGGGTTACTTATTCATGGGTTACTCGGTTGGTTATAGGTTACTTATAGAAGTAACCCTTGACCGACTAAGTAACCCCCTAAATAAATAACTCTTGATAAAGTAATTTCGAGGCCACAATAAAAATAAGGTCGTTCTAATGTATTTATTTAGTATTTTTTATTTTAAAATAAGCACTATTATAATATATATATAACTTTTACTTTTTTGTAGAGAGGAACAATATATATATAATTAATGTAATAACTAGTTATTACATTATGAATAGCCATACAACATGTCTAATTAAAAAATAGAATTAAGCACTTATAAATTAAATAAAAAATAAAACAAAAACAAAAATAAAACACACAAATAGACTGAACTGAGCTGAGATGAAATGAACTGAAATAAATATACCATGAGAGAAGGAAATAAATAAAACACAAAAATAATCGTATGAGAAAGGCTCTAAAAAGGACATATAATTGTATAAAGTAACACTTAATCTTTGTTCACAAATAATTGTATAAGATCATCTCCTTTTTTTATTTAATTTATAAGTGCTCTAAAAAAAAAAGGAAATTGCTGTTAGGCAGCTAATTACCCCAAAGCCCCACACAAAGACACCTCACAAATAGATATCCCCCTCACAAATCCCAAAAATGATGAAGCGCTTAATTCACTTTCATTAGCCGCCAACCTAATAAAAAATTTAATTAAACCACCAAAATTCCCCTCAATCCTCAACTAGAAGAAACCTTCCCGTATATATATATATATATATATATATATATATATATATATATATATATATATATATATATATATATATATATATATATATATATATAAATAAAAATAATAAAAAAAAAATACTTTGTTTCTGAAGAATCAAAAGCGTTGAACGACTCCTAAATCGAAGATCCGACTTACACTCGCAAGATCAATTCTTGGACAGAATTTAAAGGTTAGATCTATTTACTTTTCGTTTTTTCTAATATGTAGTGTTCTAATGTGTGAATCAATGGTGGTTTTAATTTCCTTTATTTTTTCCAATACGTATGCGGTATCAATTGAATTACATTGGATTATAGTTGATATGCTTGAGTAGAATTGTTCTCGATTTTTTATTTTATTTTTGCAATTTCTGCTTCAATTTGGTGTGGATCAAGTGATTTTTGCTCTTTATTTTAAATAGTTTCGTATGGCAGTAGACAGCTTTCCTATTTTCATCTAATGTATTCGTTTTTTTTTTTTGTTTTTTTTTTTTTTTTTGTTAAAATTAATTAGTTTGATTATATTTTATTTGTATAATATATTCAACTTTCTGATAATTTGTTTGCATGTTCTGCTATTCAGTTTTTTTTGGCTAATCGATTATCATATATGTGCAATTCAATTCTTCAACTTACTCAATATAACATTTTTTCTGTGAAAAAAACTCAATGTTAATTGATTATCAAATATGTGCAATTCAATTCTTAAATTTACTATGTGGAAAAAGCTCTTTGACAAGTGTGTGTGCAAGGAAGGCGGGAAGGTATGTAGTTAAGGCAAGGGGGCAATGTGCAGGGAGGGGGGCAGACAAGAAGGAGGGGGGTGGAGCAGTATGCAGTTAGGGATTAGGAGGTAAGTGTGCAAATAACGTTGGGGTGTGTAGGCTGGGATAGGGTAGATGTGCAGCTAGGGGAGGTGGGGTAGTGTGCAGCGAAGGGGATGGGAATAGATGGGATTAGTGTGTGCAAGTAAGGGGGCAGGCAGAGACGGGATGAGTTTAGTGTACAAATAGGGGATCGGTTCAATCTGCAAGCAAGGGAGAGTTGTGTACGCAGGTGTAACAAAGGGAGGGGCAGGTTTGTAGCAAGGAGGAGGGAAGGTGTGCACTCAGGGAGGGGTCAACTATTTGTATATGTGATAATGTGCTGAATTGGAAGTTAGTTGTGAAAATTCAGTTTATGTATAAATGTCTAATGATACTTTACAAAAGTAACATGTTGATTATTACAATCAAAGAAGTAATGTTGAGTATTTGCTTAAAGTTGATGAATATGAAAATTTTTCTATCTTGTTCTTTCAAGTTAGAGCAACTTAATTCATTCATTCATTTGTTTTTGTTTTTTTGTTTTTTTTTTTTGTTTTTTTAACTTTTTATGTATTCATAGCACTTCTTTACACATGGATATGTTGGATGTTCAAGAGAGGTTAGAGTGGATGAGGTGTGCTAATAGGACATACAACTTATACATAAAAGGGGTTAATTCATTTCTTGAGTTTGCTTTTCGTGACTTAGCATCAAATAGTGATATAGGAGAGGAGGATAAGAAGGTACCTTGCCCTTGTAATCGTTGCAACAATGTTCAACATAAAACAAGGGACGAAATATATAGTGACTTGTTGGTGAATGGAATTGTGCAAGGGTATGTTCGCTGGATTTATCATGGAGAATACAAGCCGCCACAAAAAAAAAGTAGAAATGATTTGGGAGAAAGTGCTAATGATGATATATTTAGGATGATCCATGACAGGTTTAGTCCTGGAGTCTCAAATGATGAGATAGATGACAAGTGCGATGAGGAGCAACAGGGTTCTGAGTTTGATTATCCTAGATTTACTAAGCATCCAAATGAGGCAAACATGTATGAAAATTTGATGAGAGATGCTCAACAAACTTACCCTGGTTGTGACAAATTCTCCAAATTGTCATTCATTTTAAAGCTATTCCAAATCAAATGTATGGATGGCATGACTAACAAAGCTTTTACTAATATGCTTCAATTGTTCAAGAATGCTTTGCCTGAATGTGCTGATTTGCCTTCGAATTATTATGAAGCACGTAAGATGATTGCTGATCTTGGTTTCGACTATAAAAAAATAGAAGCATGTGAAAATGATTGTATGTTATTTTGGAAAGAAAATGCTAACCTTGAAAAGTGTTCCATATGTGATACTAAGCGCAATAGAGCTTCTCCAAAAGTACTACGCTATTTCCCACTAGTTCCAATGTTGCAAAGGTTGTTTATGTCATCTAAAACAGCAAGTGAGATGAGATGGCATTCTGATAAACGCGAAGATGATGGAGTCCTTAAACACCCGACAGATTGTCAAGCTTGGAAGCATTTTGATAAAGAACATCCTTCTTTTTCTGCAGAGATACGTAATGTAAGGCTGGGTTTAGCAAGTGATGGGTTCAATCCATTTGGCGGGCTTAGAAGTGACTATAGTATATGGCCAGTAGTGCTTGTTGTGTACAATCTTCCTCCATGGATGTGTATGAAACAACCTTACACAATACTATCTTTGTTAATTCCAGGGAAAAGTGGACCTGGAAATAACATTGATATATACTTGCAACCATTAATTGAGGAGCTAAAAGAATTGTGGAAAAATGGAGCCAAGACTTATGATGCTTCAAAGGATTCGTACTTTCAAATGCGTGCTGCATTATTATGGACCATAAATGATTTTCCATCTGGGTGGTCTACCAAAGGCTATAAAGCATGTCCATATTGTATGAAGGAAACTAGTTCTATTCGACTACCAAATTTGGGAAAATGTTGTTACATGGATAATCGTCGATTTCTTCCTACCGATCATAAATGGAGAGATAACAAATCTTTTAATGGAAAAGTAGAAACAAGAGGTCCTCCTAAACATCTATCTTCGAATGAGATTTTAGAGCAACTTAGAGATCTTGAAGACATGAAATTAGGAAAAACAATGAAATTGCCAAAGAGAGATGATAATTGGATAAAGAAAAGTATTTTTTTTGAATTGCCTTATTGGAGTACCCTTTTGCTTCGACACAATCTTGATGTCATGCATATTGAAAAAAATGTACTTGACAATATTCTCGGTACTTTGCTGGATATTGATGGGAAGTCAAAAGATAATTTAAAGGCTAGACATGATCTAAAGCATTTTAAGGTTATGAAGTATCTTGCTCCTATATTAAAAAATAGAAAGTGGCATATTCCTCCAGGACTTTACACCTTGTCTAAGGCACAAAAAGAAAAGGTGTGTAAGTTTTTAGAGACTTTGAAGATTCCTGATGGATATTCTTCTAACATTTCAAAATGCATAAACCTTGACAAGTGTAAAATATATGGTCTAAAAACTCATGATTGCCATGTGCTTATGGAACAATTATTTCCACTTGCAATTCGTGGGGTATCCTTACCCAAAGTGAACGATGTGATAGTGAAATTAAGTACATTTTTCAAGGACCTGTGCTCTAAAACATTGAAAGTGAAAGATGTAGAAAATCTTGAATGTGAAATTGTGCTTATTTTGTGTGAAATGGAGAAGATTTTTCTTCCATCATTTTTCACTATCATGGTCCACTTGTGTGTCCACCTAGCTACTGAAGCAAAAATTGGTGGACCGGTACAATATCGTTGGATGTATCCAATAGAAAGGTATTCCTTGTATATGAATATTTTTTGTTTAGTTTCTTTATTTAACTAGTTGAACATGTTTTCAAATTTTTTATTATTTTGTAGGCTCCTACGTAGATTTAAATGTTATGTTCGAAATAAGAGTAGGCCGGAGGGTTCCATCGCGGAAGGTTACAACATTGAGGAGTGCATGTACTTTTGTTCAAAGTACTTGCATGAAATTGAGACCAAATTTAATCAACCCGAGAGGAATGATGATGCGGGAAATAATGACTACGAAGGTATATCAATTTTCGCATCATCGGGTATTCCTTTGGGAAAGGCTAAAAGTAGGTCTCTCAATGAATAAGAGTTAGCTCAAGTCCGAGAATATATACTTAAGAATTGTGATGAAGCACAAGCTTATTTAGAGTATGATATATTACTTTTGATTTTAAAAAAACTACTAAATATACTTTCTAATACGACTATCGTATGATATATTTTTTTATTTGATTTTCAGCGAATATGAAGATAGCACATCTAACAAAAATTTAGTGGATTGGTTTCGTGATCGGGTATTTCATATAATTAATAGTAGCTTTATTATTTTTTTTATATTATCAGTTCGTGTTAGTCTCATTTTTTTAATGTTATTTATTTTATATACATAGGTTATGGATCTGCCTAATGAAGGCAATGATCAAGTCGTAAACGATTTGAAAACTTTGGCTTTAGGTCCTTTGAAAGGTGTTTTGTGTTTAAATGGAATTCTTGCAAATGGATTTAGATTTCACACAAGGGATATAGAAATGAATAGGGTACACCAAAATAGTGGAGCTATGGTCAAGGGCGTTGTTGGGAATACAGAAAAAGATTATTGTGGGATCCTCACTGAGATACTTGAGATACAATATTTGGATGGAAAACGTGTGGTGTTGTTTCGTTGTGATTGGTGGGATGTTCATAGGGTTGGAAGAGGTGTTAAGGTTGACAAGCATGGCAATGTGAGTGTCAATAGTCATTGTTCATTGCGTACCAAAGAACCCTTTGTGCTCATGTCTCAAGCTCAACAAGTATTCTATGTTAGTGATGGACTTTATCATGATTGGCTTGTTATTGTAAAGACCCATCCAAGGCATCACTATAATGTTCTAGAAAAGGAAGTTATTGAAAGTGATGAGGATGCATTACAACAACTACAACCAATGATGGCTGAAGGCCCTCATGTCTTAAGCACAATTAATTTAGAGGAGACTCATGATCCACCTTTTGAAATAAGTGATGATGTTGGTGAAATCGTCATAGATGCCACTGAGGAAAATCAACCCAAAGATTTCAGTTCTGAAGAAAATGAACAATTTGATGATGACGATTTACTAGAGGATGATGAAGATGATAGTGAGAGTGACCAAGAGAGTGATAATGATGATGATATTGATCTTGCTTGACTCAAATTTTACTGTTTTTTTTTTTAAGTTATGAATTGCTTGTATTCACACTTATATCCTAGGCATTTTGAACTATTTCTTTAATTACGTTTGCTTTTTTCTTACACTTTATATTTGTGCTTAATGATTTTTTTATAGAATAATTATATGTGATGACTTTATTATTGTGAATAATTATTGATAATAGGCCTTATCAGACTAACAAAGTGTATCTGACATGACATGTACAATAGTTAGGAGGTTTGGAACACCCGTGCATTAGGTTTTATAAGGCAATTAGTGTGCAATATAATTCTGCAACTCGTGTTTGTTTTGTAACTGTAAATTTTATGATCAATGTAAAAGCAAATGAATGAGTATGAAAGAAAGAGGCTTCTAACAATTGCAGCCAACAAACAAAGATTGGAGTCGTTGGGCGTAAAACGAATTGCTTCCTCTATGACGAGTTTGGTTGAAAGTACAAAAAAGAAGAAAAGAAAAGAAAAAAGCAGTGCTGGCAGGGGCGATGATGATTATATTCCCAATGATGATGAGCTTGAGGTTCAGGAACACGAGAATGAACCTCAAATCAGATTTACAAGAAGGGTATTATTTCAATTAAGAATGATTCACTTTGCTTCCCATTAATCATAATAATTTCTGATATTTTATAAATTTGTATCAGGCTAACATAAGAAATTTGAGAGAAGGAAACGAAAAAGGGAATTTCATTCCACCAAAGTCATTGGCGAAGTTTCTAAAGATGAACAAAAAAACACAAGAAGCAATTGCCATGGACAAAGAACAAAAAGGTGTCTCTACTCTACTTGATTCTTGAATTTAGTTGTTTCTATTGTCATTGATATTGTTATTGCTGCAATTTTATCTAGAATTTCTTAAAGATGTATAAAAGCATAATGTGAAAATTTTTATCATGGTTATGGCCGGAATATATAATGTGAACTATGAAGCAAATAAAGGATGGTAGATATTGTATTGTATAAATATAGGATTTGATCGTTTGGCAAACAACCTTTCTACTTTTGGACTGAAATCTGAATTTGGAAAACTTCATTGTACTTATCTTAGTGATAGAATTTGGAGCCTACACACACCTGCTGCCCCCTCCTGCCTACACACATCTGCCCACTAATTTCCTACACACACCTGCCCCCCTCCTACCTATACATACCTCCCTGCACATACTTACCTCCCTCCTTCCTGCACACACCTCTTTGCACACATATTCCACAAACATTCCCCACTCTTGCTTGCACACACCTCCCTACACACTTGCCCCAATCTTACCTGCACACACCTCCATGCATATCTGCCCCACTCTTTCTTGCACAAACCTCCCTACACACATATTCCACACACATTCCCCACTCTTGCCTGCACACACCTCCCTACACACTTGCCCCAATCCTACCTACACACGCCTCTCTACACACCTGCCCCACTCTTTCCTTCACACACCTCCATGCACTCCTGTCCCACTATTTGTCTTTTACTAGGAAAAGATTAAACATCAGAATATCAGATTATCAGATTATCTGTCTTACTACTTGTGGTGCTTCACTTGTCTTTATTGGTTGTTGTAGCCTTCATTGGTTGTTGTTTCCCTGTTGGATCTTGTTCCTTCTAGTGTTAGTCTAAATATTATGGTGTTAGTTGGTTTGGGCCACTTGGGTCCATTGCATATTCACTACTTTATGCATATACAGTGATTCAAATCTATTTTACTTGTTTTTTTCCTTATACATGTAAATAGAAAATGAAGAAGGAGAGACAAGGGATGATGATAACAACACAACTTAATATTATGATGAGGATGGACAAATTGGTCAATATCTTGAACGTGAAAATGCATCTTCAGATAGTGAACCACTCATCATCAACGAACTCATGAATATAACAGAGGAGGAGGAATTAAACATTTCAGCAAGTATGAATAATCCCTTCAAACATATGTAACATGCTTAATTTGATTTTAGTCATGTCAATTCTATACCTACTAAGCTTATGCATGATCTATGTACAATTGTGAAAAAAAGAGGGACAGTATATTGCAGGAAGCTTACTCTATTACCTCCGGGTGAAAAACTAAATGTGGAGTTTGATGAGGATGGTGTTGCTATTGGTGACAATGCTTCATTATTTTCTTTCTTCTTGGGTCAACAAGTTCGTAATAAATCTGTTTGTCCAATACAAGTCAAGGGTTGGAATGAGTATACATCTGAAATATTAGACCATTTGTGGGCTTGCATCCAGGTAATATCATATCATAATACACATCAATTCTTGCATTCTGACCCACTTACAGAACTAGAAAACCTGATGACTTGTGACAATCTCAACTAAATGATGGTGTATTATCAAAATGTAAAGCTGAAGCCCTCCAAATTCTCTTTGTGAGCTCATAGAGCCTAAATAGATGATTTCTGAATACTCTGAGCATATTACACACATACCATTTGTTCTAATTCCTCTCTTCATTACTTCGTTCTATTACTATCATGTCTAATTAACATCATTTATCATTAGCATGAGCATCCTTCAAATCACATATATTTAGAAGATCAATAAATGTAATATATATAGTTAAGCGTTAGAGGTATTAATATACTTATTTTTGTATATTTCAGGAGAAGTGGTCATTTGATGATCCTGAACAAAGGAGGGAGTGTGTCATGAAACATGCACAACGATTGTTTAGATATGCAAGGAGAAAATTGAAAAGAAAGTACTTTAGTAAGCTGACAACAAAAGAAGAACGTCTCAAAAATAAGCCAAGTCACATGACTAAAGTTGAATGGAAGTTCTTGGTCGACTATTGGAGTAATGATACAGTTATGGTAATATACTAATATACTGTGATAATATATATATATATATATATATATAGGGTCGGGATCCGGTGAGACCATCCCCCTATATGAGACCATCTCTTATATGACACCAAATCTGAGCCCTTGAACTAAATAGATCTGACGGATGAAAAAGCGCATAGTAATGGAAAAATCAGTAAATACACCACCTAACTGTCATCTCTCTCCACCTAGCTAACTAACTTCTCTCTCCACCACGAAGCTTCATCAATGGCGGCTAATCAGTAACGCTGTTTCTCATTGCTTCAAATTGCTTCATCAATTGCTTCATCAAATTAATCATAAGCAAGTTCACACCGACCTTGCTCGCCTTGCGCTACAAATCATCAATTACTAATCGCATTTCCATCGCTGCTACAAATCAAATTCGCCAGGTGAATTGCATGTTAATTGGATGATAATTTTTGATTTTTTAGTTTGTTCTGTTCTTATTAATTTGCATATTTAATTGCATCAATCACTAGGTTATTGAATTGCATGTTAATTGCATGAGAATTTTCGATTTTAGAGGTTTGTTCTGTTCTCATTGAATTGCTTGTTTAATTGCATCAATTATGGATTTGATTGAATTTACTTCTTTGAAATATTTTGAATTAAATCAAAAATTTAGGTTTGATTAATTTGATAGAAATTGAAAATTTGCAATCAAATTTAAAATGAGCAAATGAATTGAAAATGAGCAAACCTAAATATTTGTAATAATATAAAAAACATATAATGAGCAAACATAATTAAATTGAGCAAATATAAAAAGGAGCAAATGAGCAAAATAAGTTGGTAATTATGGTGGTGGTAGGGTGCAGGGGACAGGGGTGGCGGCGAGGGAGTGAGAGTGCGACAGGTTGTGGTGGTGATATTGGTGGTGGTAAGGTACAGGGACAGAGGAAGGAGAGAGAGTTTGGTGGTGGTGGTAATTGTACAGTGTAAGAAAGAGAGAAATGGGATTCAGCTCATTAACATGAGTTGCAGAAGCAGTGAAAGTGAAAGAGGTAGCTGTAGCTAATGAGCAAATATTTAGTTGCTCATTTATCAAATGAGCAAGTGGTTGTGCTTCTTAGATTGAGCACTTCTGTGTGCTGTGATAATCTGAAATTACCGTGTGTATGTGTGTGTGTGTGTGTGTGTGTGTGTGTGTGTAAGTGAGTGTAAGAGTGCATGTGTTAGAGTGTGTGTGTGTGTCTAAGAATGTATGGTTTTTGCTGGCAAATATGCTATACTATGCTATACTGAATGCTATATATGCTAGGTTTTGCAAAACATATTGAAGGGTAGCATTATCAAGTTTTACTCCTTTTCAAATCATCATTTCTGATATCAAATCATTGAGTTCCTTGGTTTTCTTGCCTGCACACAAGCCCCACCCCCCTTCTTCTTGGTCTATTTCCTGCACACCAACCACATTCCCTTCTTACACTTACTTATACAAACCTATTCCCCCCCCCTCATTTTTCTGTTTGCAATTCTGAATTCTGAATCTGATTTCAGAAATGATGAGCAACAATGAAGAACTTGACAGTCATTCTAGTACCATCACAAATGTGGCAACTACTCCTACAATAGTAGTTTCTCCTAAAGTAGCACCTTTGCTCACTCCTGGAGGAACAAAAGAATGGCTTCCAATATGCCCTAATGAGTTGAAACCAGCTATAGGGATGAAGTTTAATAATCTTGAAGAGGGCCTTGAATTTTATAAAAGATACGCATTTGCTGCTGGATTCAACACAAGAAAATCTACAACTAAAAGGCAAAGAAGAAGCAAAGAATTGAAATCACAGTATATCTTATGCAATAAAGAAGGATACAAAGAGAAAAGAAAGCCTACTGTTGAAAAAGATTTAAATAACAACGAAGGAGAAAGCAATGAAGAAAAAACTTCAATCAAAAGGAAGAGACTCGTTACTCGTGTTGGGTGCAAGGCACATATTATCATAAAGCATTGTGATGATAACAAATTCATAGTGTCACAATTTCATGAGAGACATACTCATCCACTTTATACACCTAGTTGCAATCTCTTCCAAAAAGAAGGAAGAAAAATGAACATAGTGCACAAAAAAATAATTGTGAATAATTCTATGGTACGACTTTCAAAGCCTCTTATGTTTCATGAATTCTCTGTATGTTCTAATAAAAGTAGTATGCTCATTTGAAAAATGAGCATTAAATTATTTGCTCATTTGACAAACTGTTTTGTTCTTTAAATATGTGAATATTGGTCCTGTTACAACTTTTCGAATGATGAAGGAAATTGTTGGAGGATATGATAACATCGGTGCATCTAAGCAAGATTTCAAAAAATTTCATAGAGATTTGAAAGCATACATTCAAGGAAGTGATGCTCAAATGTTCGTGGATAACTTTACTAACAAAAAGTTAATGTGGAGCGCTTTTTTCTTTGATTTTGAGATGGATGATGATTATTGCCTTTGTAGAGCATTATGGGCTGATCCCCTTTGTAAAAAGAGTTACGCTCTATTTGGTGATATGGTATCCTTTGATACCACATACCAAACCAATAGGTAATTCATAAAAATCACAAATCATTTTTATGTTATAACTATAGCTTAAATTAATAACTTTGTTTTAAATGAACTTAGTATAACTGTTTGTTTATTTCACAAATGAGCATTGATTTATTTGCTCATTTCAGAAATGTGCATTCAATTATTTGCTCATTTGACAAAAAAGAAAACAATAGCATTGAGTTATAAGCTCATTTGACAAATGAACAATCAATTATTTGCCCATTTGTCAAATGAGCATTGAATTATTTCAGTAGCTGATGACAATTCTGATTTCATAATCTGAATTCAGATTCTATCACAGATTGTGAGTGCGTGTATGTATGTGTATATGTGTGTGTGCGTGTGTGTGTCTGTGTCTAAGTACGTGTGTCTTTGTATTTATGTGTGTGTGTAGTTATTTGATCATTTAAAATTTAATCTGTATGTGTAAACAGGTACAACATGGTGTTTACTCCATTTACAGGGGTTGACCATCATAAGAGCTGCATTACTTTTGCTGCTGGTTTCATAGCAAAGGAAGATATAGTGTCATTTGAGTGGTTGTTCAGATTATTTCTCAAGGCAATGGGTGGAAATGAACCAAATTGTATGATTACAGATCAAGATCCAGCAATGAAAATTGTTGTTAAAAGTGTGTTTAACAAGACTGAACATCGCTTCTGTATGTGGCACATAATGAAAAAGTTACCAGATAAGGTGGAGAAATCAATCATGCAAGAAGAAACTGATTTCCTAAAAAAATTATGTGCTTGTGTTTGGCATCTTGAAATTGAACCTGCTGAGTTTGAAGAAAGGTGGAACAAGGTGATGGTTGAATACCACTTGGAAGAACATGAGTGGTTAGGTTATATGTACAAGATAAGGAACAAGTGGATTCCGGCGTATTTCAGAGATGTGTTCCTTGGAGGAATAATGCGTACAACATCAAGATCCGAAAGCGAAAACAACTTTTTTTGCTCCTTTATCAATCCTCATGTATCACTTGTTGAGTTTTACTTGAGATATGAAGCTGCAATTGATGCCCAGAGACACACTCAAGGTCAGAATGATAATGATTCAAAGCACAAATATCCTGAGTGCAAAACACCACTAGGGATAGAAAAGCATGCCTCACATTTATATACTAACTCTGTCTTTTATGAATTTCAATATGAGGTTGAAATTGCTTGTTTTTCATGTGGTGTTGATGAATTGAAGAAAGAAAATGGATTGGAAGTTGCAAAAGTAAGTGAAGGAAATCGGATTAGAACATTTGATGTTGTGTTTAATCCAACTAACTTTGACACCACATGTTCTTGCAAGTTGTTTTATAGACAAGGAATTCCATGTAGACATAGATTTGGGTTTGGAAAGCAAAAAGGTTTGAAACCATTCCGGAGCAGTATATGCTACACAGATGGACTACTATGGCACTGAAAAAACCAATTTTTGACTTGGGTGGAAACCTGTTGGAGCAATGTGCTAATTTAATTGACAAGAAAAAATTGTTAAATGATTTATGGTCAGAGATACACACTTGTGTAAGTTTGGCAGAAGGCAATGATGAAGATATTCAAGATCTTGTGATAAATTTTCAAGGAATAAGAAAGGATTTGGAGGCTAAGAGGATTGCAAGGATTAATGAAACAACAGGAAGTGCAAACAACAAAGGACAAGACATTGAGCTATTGATTGGAGCTAGTGTGCCAACTGAAATAATTGTCAAACCTCCAAAAATTTCAAAGAATAAAGGGACTGGAATTCATGTATCAAATGTAGAGACTTCAAAAGAGAAAGGGGCTGAGATTGATGTGCCAAATGTTGAAACAAGCGGTAGAAGTGCAAAAAGGCTAAAGGGAGAAAAAGAAAAGGTTGTAGAACAAAACCAGAAAAAGAAGAGATTATGTAGAGGTTGTGGTGAATTGAGTCATCATGATATTAGAAACTGTCCAAACAAAGTATAATGATACTTTTATACAAATATAAAAGTTAATATTTTTATATAAATATATGATTTAGCATTTTGTGTTTTAAATTTTGTTGAAATGAGCAAATATTTTGCAAGCTCTGTTTATCTATCATACACACATATGTAATTATACCAAAGCTATTGTAATGTCCTTGGTAACAGAAATAGTCCAATCCAAGATATTATACAATGAGTTCAATAAAGAGAACATACCCTAATCTTCAAAATCATAGAGGCTAAATTAACTAGATATTTGCTGATATTTGTATAATAATACTTTTATACAAATATAAAATTTAATATTTTTATATAAATATAAGATTTAGCATTATTTATTTGGTCATTTGGCAAATGAGCAAATAGTTAATACTCATTTGTCAAATGAGCAAATAGTTAATACTCATTTGTCAAATGAGTAAACATTCCTTTTAATAATACATTAAATCAACAACCATTTCTTTGCTCATTTGTGAAATGAGTAAGCATTAGTTTCCTCATTTTTTAAATGAGCAAATAATTAGTTACTTATTTAAAAAATAAGAAAACATTTCTTTGCTCATTTAGCAAATGAGCAAATAGTCAGTTGCTCAAATAGTTAATCAGGAATTTAACAAATGACAAACAACTTAGTCAATAAGATAGAAAATCATATCCATTACATTGACATAGCAAAATTTATACTTAGAAAATCCTAACAACATCATAAAAACATTAGATCAACTAAGAACATTTATCACATTTGTCCTATTAAGAACATCATAAAACTAACAATTCTATTGTTCTGTACAAAAACTATACAAATCCTAAGAACAATTGATCAACTTCAGTCTTCAATTCTCTCCGTTAATTGCTCTTGGATTGCTGCCCCTAGCTTTCTTCAGCATCACTTGCTTCCTCAGCCTTTTTTTTCTTTTGGACAACTTGTTTAACAGATTTAACAGTATTTACTTCACTTGAAATAATTGAGAGGGTATACTTCAAACGAAGTTTGTCAATGATTATGTCCTGCAAAGAGAAAAAATGAAGCAATAATTCAGAGTAAGTATAGGGTAAGTAATGGCTTCATGAATGTATATCAACAAGCTGCTCACAAATTTTAATCTAAAAAGTGCAGATTTCTCATTCCAGAAGAATCAAATTATAAAAATTGCAATTAGACTTTTTCTGGTTAGACTTACATTATTTTTCTTTAAACCTGAATTCCACTTTTGCAAAGCCATATATGTTTCCATATGCCTCATCATTGCAACACCGCAATGCAAATGATAATCATCTAAAGACTTCCAAGGTAAATCAACCACAACAGACTCCATAGATTTGATTTGTTTTGACAAAATAACACTTTGTATACTTCCTTCCACCATTCATGAAATATGAAAATGCACTTTTCTGAAAATGAACAAATAAGTTAAAATAAGAACAAAAACAGGTGGAACAAATATAGTTAGAACAAGCAGAACAAGATCAAGATAAACAACTAAACTCAAATCATTTTTCTAAATAATCTAACAAAATCTTGAGCCATTACTGCCACCTACCCACACATTACACAATTCTGATTCCAAAAACTAATTTCAGAATCTGATTTCAGATTCTATTACAGGTTGTATGTGTGCTTGTGTGTGTGTGTATGTGTGCGTGTGTGTATGTGTGTGTGTATGCGTGTGTGTGTATTTGTGTGTGTGTGTGTGTGTGTGTTTGTGTGCGCCTGTGTACGTGTGTGTGTGTGCCTGTATACAATCAGAAACTCTCAAACACATTGTTCAAATGCAGAGATGCACATTATGTAGAAAAATAAATCACAGAGTTTTGCAAGTATCCTCTAGAAAAGTTTTACATGTCATATATCCCGAAAGAATCAAGCTGACCATGAATAGATTCAAAGTGAGGTCAGAGACAGAGACTAACAGGAAGCTATTTAAGACTTTGCTTGTGTGTGTGTGTGTGTGGGTGTGTATGTGTGCGTGTGTGTATGTGTGTGTGTATGCGTGTGTGTGTGTGTGTGTGCCTATGTATGTGTGTGTGTGTGTCTCTGGCGTGAGTGTGTGTGTGTGTATTTTCTTGTTATGGGAGAAAGAAGAAATTCAGAGGAGAATCCTCTGAAAGGGTTAGGGTACCAGTGATATAATGAGAGGAGACATGAATAAAGAATCTGGTAACAACATGGCAGACATCAATGAGGATATTAATGATGAAGAAGAAGTGGCTGAAGACATACCAGATTTTTAAGCAATTTCTTATTTTCTCTAGGACCTTCACTGTAATCAATAACCTCAATTGTACCACAGTCTGTGGTGGTGTTAAAACATACCAGATAATAATGATCCTTTTCAAATACCGGGAAAAAGAAAAGCTCAATATCTTTCTTTGGGATGATTGTTTTGCTGAATTCCAACTCCACAACCTCACAAAACATTTTATTCCTTTCTTGAGCACGATCACTTTCGTATTGAAAAAGGCAATCCTAAAAAAATAAATAAAGAAAAATACATAAATAAGATGAACATAAATGAAAAGAGTAAATAAGAAATGAGTAAAGTGAATTTGAAATGAGAAAAGTCATAAAATGAGTAAATTGAATTTTTTTTTACAAATGAGCAAGTGAATGTTTTGCTCATTTCGAAAATGAGCAAAGAATTAATTGCAGCTATCATTCAATTATTTATGTAATTACAGAACATACAGAATGTTAGTTGTCAGATAGCATCATAAACATAAAGAATTAAGTCCTTTGGTTTAAGACCATATAGAATTATAGATGCAGCATGTCTGTGAATTCTCACTCGTCACTGATTCAGACCTTATTACAGGTCATAAATAAGAGTCCGAATTGTGCAGGACCAAAATTTGACCATAATACAACTCATAAACACTGATTATACATTGATTCAGACCAAGGAAGTCAGAATTTATATTATTATTAGTTCTGTATTTCAAATATTTTATCAAAAGATTTTATGTTATTTAGTATCCAATAAGAGACTTGAATTAGTTCAGTATTTAATTTTTGCTCATTTGACAAATGAGAAAGAATATTTGACAAATGAGCATTGAATAGTTTGCTCATTTGACAAATGAGCAAAGAACTAATAATAGTTTTTGCAAATACAAAACAACATCTACATTCAAATATAAAAAAATTATATGAAATGAGCAAAGTGAACATGAACAAAATAAAACAAAATAAAATGAACGAGTTGAACTTTCTACAGCATTAAGACCAAAAAAGAAACGTCCACAAGAATTGACATCTTTATATTGCTCATTAAAATTTAGAACAGTAGACCATGCATTAATGATATCGCCATGAATTTTGCTCTGAGTTTTTAGCATTTCAAGTTGAAATAGCATTACTTCATTATCAGGCTCACCCTTGCATAAAAACCCTGCATCACTACATATAAGATTTAGGGAAGTTAAAATAATTTCAATCGTAGATATGTGAAGTGAGAATATAGAGCTAGACTTGTTATAAGAAAGAAAAATAAAGTCAGTTGCCAAAATTTCCAGAACTGAAAAAATTGAATAAATACTTACAAACGATTTTTCTTCTCATGAAAAAATGAATCCATAACACCTTTCTGAACTGTTGTTAATGGTGTATATATGTTGATAATCCGAGACTTAAAAGGAGATCTTATTTGCAACGATGGTTGCACTTTACGCTTCTTTGGAATACAACTCTCATTTTCAGCATCTCCTTTTCTCTTAAGCGCAATTGGGTCTTCTTGAGCATTCACAGCATCAGCATCATCAACTGATTTAGAAGCACCAACTTGTGCACTCACAGGAGCAACTATAGGTTCATCAGTAGGTGCAATGCTGGGGGACTTCTCTTGAGAATCATCTTGAGAAGAGATTCCTAAGCTGAATGAAGGAGTTCCACATCCTTTGGAAACTGAACTTCTTAAACTATATCTCGTACTTGACTCTCCAAGTTTTTTAAATACATGTTCAGCAACCTTAGGCTGTATGATAACAGATGGATCTTCAACATCAGGTATACCACTTGCTATGTCAACACATTCAGCAGCAATCTTAGTAATATCAATTGGTTCTGATTCAATCAGTTGATCAACCCTAGCATAAATTGTAGATTCAGCATGCTTGTCATTGCCTGAAATCTTCGAAAACCTATCCCAAGCTTCAATTACAGCTAGATCTTTCCAATACTGTTCATCTTGGCTAAATGAGAGAGGAATATCTTCAGTCAAAGCTTTAGAGCTCATCTTCTGCTCATCACAAACAGTCATTGCATCTTCCTTCAGCTTTTGAATCTTCTCATTGTTTGGAAAATACTTAACAGCAGTTTCATGTTTTTCACTGAAATCCATGTATGCCAAGACTAGATTTGTAGATGCTGTTGCAAGCTCCATAAGGCATTTCTATAAAAAAAAAAAAAAAATTAATTCACAATAATGGAAAGAAGCCAAGACCATCTTGAATACTTAAAGGAGTACCAAACTTTAGAGCAAAATCATGATCAGCTTGTTAGAGTTTTCTTTTCTAACAATTAGAGGATCATTTAACACTACACCTGGATCCTTAAATCCATTTCCCCAATAGCTAAAAGTCCTTTCATGCAGTAAATTAAAACATAGATGCTCATTTGTCAAATGAGTAATCAATTTTTTGCTCATTTACCAAATGAGCAAATAGTTGATTACTCATTTATCAAATGAGCAAACACCTACACATGTTAATGAGGAGGTTTTACCATCTGAGGTGTTTAAAGCTAATCAGATTTATGTTTAAAGCTAACCAGAAGATGTATCTTAGGGAGGATAGGGATTGGGCTAATAACAACTCGCACACCCCCAACCTTTTAACCCCCTACTCTTTCATCGCACGACAATCCCCAAATTCACAAAACAACAATTCAAATTCACAATTAAGTAAAAAATAACAAAAATTAGGAAAAAAACAAAAACAAAAAATGAGCAAAGTCATATAAAAATGAGCAAATTAATATAAGTTTCCAGAAAAGTCATATAAATACCTTCTTCGGATCTTGTTCAATTTCTTCATTTTTTGTATGAATTGGATCAGATTGTTCCTAAAATCAAGCAAAAAAAAAAACAAAAAAAAAAAAATTACATAATTGTGTAATTTTCATCCAAATCACACA